AATTCCTAAAGATTTTCCAAAACACTACTCTGTCGATAAATTGCAACAGTTTGAATGAGCACCAAAGCTTTAAGATCTCTCCAGCTGTCACCTGGAGACTGGCAACAGCTTGTCTGGAGTGTGAGCAGTATGGCATTGTATCTGTCTGAGGTCCCCCTCTTCCTCCTCCTCCTCAGACCCCACCCTCAGCAGGCTTCATCCCTAAAATATCCTGGAAGTTTCCAACCTGGAGTTGGCAACCCTATGTCCTTTCCTGGCAACCATCAGCCAACCTTTATCTGCCTGTCTGTCTTAACCCCCCCCCACAGCCTCTGCCTAGGGAAAGGGCAGCTGACATCATTCTCCTCTCCCCTATGAGGTATGTTATGCAACTGAAAATCCCAACTGCCTTGCGGGTGGGGGTGAGTTTGAGGTGTGGAATGGAGTGTAGTCCAATCAGCTTCCATATGCAAATGACCTTGGAACGCTGGGTGGGACTGCACAAAGCAGCCTGTCAACCCAGCCAGTGTCTTCTGAGTGGCAGTTTTTCCGGCCTAACACTAAAGGAGTGCATTTTGGAATGTTCAATATAGAATGTTCACTACTCAATTATATATAAGGAGAGATAATACCTTTGTAAATACCAGGTCATAAATAGGCAAAATTCATAGAAGTCTATTCCAATGACTAGGGTACAAAATTAAGAGTCACAATGACTGAAGTCCATTCCAATGACTAGGGTACAAGATTACAGAGGCACAATTACTGAATCATTTTTTATTAATTCACAATTTGTGTTCTAGCAACTGTGTTTTCATTGTCCTCATGAAACTTCCTATAAGGGCTCAATTACAAGAACAGAAAATTGCAGAAATCATTTACAGTTATAAAATGTCTTTATTTAAAACTTGTAACCATTAGGAAAAACTACCTCTGCACTTTCCCACACTAGCCTGCAGATGGTGCAATTACTGCATATAAATGTACCCTAGTCATTGGAATAAACTTAGTCTATTTATGGTTTGGTATTAATAGGGTTTTTATTGTGCATAAACTTTATTGGTACTTGATGCTTTGTACATATAATGTGTTTATTATATAATATTATAAATTGATCAAGGTATTTTTTTGTTTGTTCTGTACTTCTCATGTCATCAAGGTTCACAATTGAACTACACAACCAATACCATCTTATACTAGCCTAGTTAACCAGTGCCTAAAATAGAAGTGACCACAAAAAATATTAGCAAATGTTACAA